ACACACCTTTAATCCCAGGACTAGAGGAGACAAAGGCAAATGGATCTCTCTGAGTTCAAAGCCACCCAGGGCTATACCACATTGGATCAGTCTAAAACAGTAACAGAGCTCACTCCTTTAATCTCAACATGAGAAAGGTATATAAAAGATTGCATCTGGGTCTTCAGTAGTCACTCTCAGGAGTCTCTAGCTACTTTGCTAAAGCATAGCAGTCTGGGTGAGTCTGAGGAGCAGTGAAGTCAGGAGCAGTCTGAGGATCGCCCCTTTGGTCTGAGCTGAGGTAGAGGTAAGCGCTAGTGGCTGGCTGCTTTCCTTTTCTGATCTTCAGCTTGAAGCTTAAACCCCAATATCTGTCTCTGGGTCTTTTACTTATCATGTTACTCAAGAGAATAAGACAGTTCTTTCAATGAACAGTGCTAGAAAAAGGAGAGAGACAAATACTACATGACCTCATTTATAAGTAGAATTTATAAATGCGAAACTTGGGGGCGGGGGAGAGTACAAAACAGTTAAGGAAAGAGGGTTTGCATTATGAGTTATGCAAGATGAATAAATTCTAGAGATCCCATGTTCTCACTGTTACTGTAGCTAATAACACTGTATTGTGTAGTTGAACTTTTCCAGTGTTTTATTAACTTTTTACAATTTTCATTTTACTAACTTTCAGTTTTTTATTTGGGTAATAGTTTCAGGTTTATATTATGATTAACTGACCTATAAAAATAATGTAGATTTATAGACTAGAGATGATAAATCTTTACTTTTCAGAGGGGCAGTTGAAAGTATCTCACCTTGTTGCTCGGGCTGACCCCAAACTATGTATGTAGCCCAAGTTTGTGGTTCTTCCTGTTTCAGACTCTGGAATATAGGATTACATGCATGGACCAACATACCTTTTTCAGTAGGAGTTTTTACCATATTGAAAACCATTAAGTAGGACTTCAAATATGTAGGGCAATGGTAGAACTCTTGCCTAGCAGCAGGGAAGCCTGGTTTCAGTCTTTAGTTATGTGAGGTGATAGAAAAATAATTAGCTTTGGTGTGATCAATATTTAAAATGCATACATATATGTTATTATTAAGTTGAATACTTTAAGTATACATGATTTTAAACTGTCAAATATACTTCAGTAAATGTGGCAAGGAGGGAGGAGAAAATAACTTGGTCAGATTTGCATTTTACCAAGTTCATTCTTACTGTCATCATTAAAATTTATACTCCTCAGGCTCTTTTCTGTATTTTTTTACTCACATTGAGTGTTGTCCAACAGTCAGTTCATCTCACAGCTTCTGTTTCTATTTCTGAATTTCCAGTCCAGACCTCTCTGCTGGGCTCTGACCCCATTTACCCCAATGCCAATTAGATGTCTCTTCTCTGGAGAGTCTTAGGAAATACAGCATAGTCCTAGAATGATATTTACCCTTTATTTCTCTTCCAAATTTTGCATGTTTTGCTTCTTTGCATCTGAATTAGTGGTAGCTAGTACTATTATCTTTTAGCTTCCTCCATACTAAAAACCTGAGAGTCATCTGTAAGAACTGTTTATATCCCACCTACCATCCGTTGCTTTCAACTATGTCCCCTTCCTCTCTTATTAATGGTTTTGTTCTAGTGCAGCCTCTCTCACTTACACCGCTGGTGTGCCCGATCACTCACTTTTCATCTGTCCTGCAACTGTGCTTCCAAAGAAAGAAGAGGACTACAGCTAGAATGACCTTTCTAAATTTCTAACTGGATCAAAGGTTGAACTAGATCACACTACAGTCTGCTAGAATCTGTCAGTCCTCTGTAATTCAGCTGTAAACTCTCACAGGAAAAACTAAAACCAGAAGGACCTGGCATTCATTAATTAGTTAATTAATTAATTATTTTGTTTCTTTGTTAGCTTACGGTTTTTTTTCATTTGTTGCATCTTTATCCTTAGCTCTTTGCTATCCCACAACCTCTAACCTTACCAGACTTTAAGGTTCCAGTAGTTCTCATGTTCACAACTGGTTAGAACACTTAGGCAAATCTTCATAAAGAAATATTTCCAGTATTCCCTTCTGTTGTACCTATATCTTTCACTTTTTCTTTGTTCTTTTCATGTTAAGAACTGCAAGTATTTTTGAAGTAGCAAAAAGGAAAATTTTGTCCACTAACTAGTAAGTGTTGATTATTATAACTGCATAATTATTCTCCACGTGATTTACTGGCCATTCACTTAAAATATTCCACAGATTTTAAAGTGATTCCATAGAGTGAGTCTACTTGATACTAAAAATCTAAGTTTATATATTTAAGAAAGAAGACCCATACCAAGACAAGCCTTGACACAGTGACTAAGATTGTTAAGAATTTGGTGACCCAATTAGAGAAATGGAAAGTATAAATGTTGAAATAATGTCCTTACTTAAATATTCACTTTCACATGTCAGCTCATTTTTATTTTAGAGGTTACATAACCTATCTTTTTTCCTATCTGTCATTTTTAACAAAAATTTTTCCATTTCATTTCCAAAATGCTCCAATATGCCAATATGTTATAATGATATAGGTTTTGCATCTGGGAACAACTAAATGTTACATTTCTTTAGAAAAAAATTAAATATTACAAAATGTGATTACTTGTGACCATGATAGAGACAGCAAGAGATTGTGTGTGTGTGTGTGTGTGTGTGTGTGTGTGTGTGTGTGTGTGTGTGTGTGTTAATTGCAAACTTACATTAGATTCTCAGTTCCTGCTTGCAATGGATTAAATGAAAATTATAGGCAGGCCAGAAATTGCTCTTCAGACTAATTATGCTGTTTCTAATATCAGTAGTGATTTTACAGTTAAAAGTGTACACTGCTAAAGTTAAGATTGGAACAAAATTCATTTCACTAGACTCTGTTAAAAATAGCATTATCAACTATTTTCTGATGTTTCCCATACCGTATATTGAGCTGTCCTGAAGAAATAAACCTCCACTTGCTTTCGTGACAGTAGATAATAAATTGGCTGATATAATTCAGTTGAGATGTTGAAAACTGCACTGAAAATAATGGGGCATAACATTTTAGGGTTAACATTTATTCATAGATGATGCAATTAAATAAAACACGCATTAACTTCAAGGTCAGTCAGTAAAGTAATAAAATTGAATATTTTAATTGAATTGTAATCGTTTCCCATTGATACATGCAACTAAAGTAAAATGGATGTCAGCTCTCAAATTATAGTTCTTCCTCCTAATTAATTTCTTAATTCTGCATGGAGTTATCCAGTGCCTAGGTCTTGTTGTGGGTTTATTCACTCACCCGGCTTCCATCAAGGAATGTCTATAAGATGTGATTGAATGGTTAGATGTCAGAATTTATAGTAAATCTTTTCTTGTACCTTAGAGCAAAATCTTGTTAGTAACTTAAAATTATCTCTTTCTTGTGAATTAAAGAGCGTTTGAAATGAAATGGCATCCTACATGCCAAGGTTCATTTTTGTTTTCAACTCGAACATTGACTTGATTATTTTATAAACTTCCAAAGAAACTCAGTGGTGAATATATTTTATTGATGCTAATCTGACCCTGAGCCTCAATCCTCAATTATAAACATTCCTGAATATCAGAGTTCTCTGTGAGTAACATACAGTTAGAAATTCCTAATTCCTGAAAGGAGTAGAGGAAGGGAAAACTGAGATCAGGATATATTGTGTGAGAAATTTTTCAATAAAAAAAGAAAATCATAAACACACAAAAAAAAACCCAAGGTACCAAATTCTTGGATGCTAATTTTATACATTAAGGTGATCCATTTTACCAGATGTTTATTGATACACAAGCTGCACATGGAATAGTAAAATGTTTCTAAATAAGTAAAATTTATAAAAATGTGTGAAACTGTAAGAAAATTGAGAATTCATTTTATTGGGTTTTCATTTACATGTTATTAATAATTTATGGAGTCATTGGTGCTCTTGGAATTAAGAGTTTCTTGAGAGCTCTTATGCATCTGAATATCTTGATGGGATAGGCCCAGTAGTCTTTCTACCACAACTAGTAAAGCCTGGACTGATTTAAAGATATTAATAATGAGTGGCTTAGGCCATTGCCTTCTCAAGGACATTAGTGTCAACCCCTAGAAATCTCTGGCTCTTATCCAAGAAATACTTTCTAAAAACAACCTGAAATGCATTTCGTATGAATAGTTATCATGAGGTCCCTAATGACTTGTCACTTTCTAATGAACAGAAAAAAAGAAATGAAGCAAATGTAGAAATGTCTCTAATGGAGTTTCCTGCCAGGTGTGAGAAGCAAAAGACCTAAGTAGGCCTTATTGAGGACAGTTCAACATATAAGCCTAACATTAGTGTTACTATATATAGTGTTGTTTAATGTAGATAGATCTATTCAGAAAAGTACCCAGGTTACCATATTGAATTGAGACACTTTAAGTACTGAAGTTGTGATATTTTTGGTAAAGAATTATGGACTATTCTAAATAGACACATTGTTTTGAGAGTAACTATGATTTGATTTCTTAGTATAAGTGTATCCATATTGTACCATTAAGTGAATTAATTTTATAGGTGTAAACAGTCTAACACTATTCTTTTGTATTCTTATTCTATAAATATGTTTAAAGCTAAAATAAGAATAAAACAGATAGATCACATTGTTGTCTTTAAATAAAATAAATCACAACAACGAAAATGCCTAGGCTTTGCATTTCCTGTCTTTGAACTTATGTTATTATAATTCCCTAAAAAAGAAAGTCAGATTGAAGGAAGCATCTGCCTATTGACACAATTGAAATAAACTAAAAGTTCTTTTCTACAAATAAGAAATTCAACTATCCCAGGGAAATGGGAAAATAAGTGATGGCAATGCCCTGCTCAAAGTACATTTAAGTTTAAAATCAAAACCATTTAAAATACATATACATTGCTTTCCTAGGTGAGGAGGAGTCAAGGGGAGGGAAGTGTGCCTTTATAGTTGTAATCTGACACTTACCTAGAAAAAAATTTAACCTTTCCTGACAGGCTTAGACCCTGATAAGCATCTTGGGAAAACCCTGGGTGAAATGGAGCCGTATCTTTTGGAGGTAAGAATTTATATTCATCTTCAAAATATCAGGATCTGAAGGAGGAAAGTAGTACCATAGCGTAATGACTATATGAATGAACTTTGTTTCAGAAAACTTTAGGTGCATTCATTTTATGATTTGTGAAAAGATTAAATTTCATAGTATCCATAGAAGTGTGTTTAAAATTATATAAGATGATTTCCAGTTTGACCCAAACTGGGATGAGTCTGTAATTGCAAGAGTAAGTAAGCAGAAAGGAAAATGCTGTGAGGACATGTACTTTTGTTAAAATGGGTGCCATGTGCTGTAGGGCTAGTCCTGGCGTTCAGATGGAAGCCTCTGCAGAAGCACAGTCTCTCTGACTTGCGCTCAGTGTCAAGCGCAGGAGTAGGAGCTTCTGCAGGTACTGAATCCAGTCCTCTTTACAAAGACCAACCTACTTTCCAAGAATCAAAGGAATTATCCTAACATGTCAAATAAGTTGATAAGATATGTGTGTTTACCCTAATAACCTGCATCAGATACATCAACCAGGTTCCTAATAGTAAGCACAGGTAGGAGCTGTTAGATGGAATTGGGCCACAGGTCCTAGAGTAGCTGATAAAAGAACTTAAACAGATTTGAATGATGGGTGAAATTTAACTGGGCAGTGGCCACAAAGTAAATCAATATGAATGAAGACTCATTAGCAGGAAGGCACACAGAGAAAAGAAGAAACTTGATCATAATGAAATTAAACTGGTGTTGATAGATTGGTAAGGAAAAGATACAATGGAAATATAGGGCAGTCTTGAAGGGCCTTCAGGGATGGGCCAGGCAATTTAGGATAAGAAATAATATGATTTAGAGGACTCTTAAACTGCAATTCATACTATTTTTTAAAAGTTGAGGAAATAATAGTCTAATGGCAGTATTTATTTATGGATTAGGAATGGAAAAATTGGAAGTAGCGTCCATGAAACTGTTATAGGAAACAGATGTGTGATAGAACTATATGGAAATATTGTGATAGGAAGATGAAAAGACATTGGCATCAACATTTTCACAAGCTGGAAAATGAGGAATCAACAATTATTCACACACAAGGAAGGAAATTAGAAGCACTTATTATTACAGATGACAGTAGAATTTAGTGAAAAACCATGACAAGCTTGATCACAAACAGACTAGATTTTATGTTACAACATGTACCCTGAAGACAAATGTTTTTAACCCATGAGACGGCAGAGGACTACGGTTTGTTATTTGTCAGTGTATTGCAGGTAGTTAGACAATGACTTGACCCATGGGTGCTTCCTTTCTCAGTATGAAGCAGTTATGGAATACTGCTTTCACTCTACCCCACTACATGAGTTTCATTGTTTCTCATAGTTGAGCTGTGAGGTAACTCAATGCTGAGTGCATACTGTGTGCTGAGTGGTCTCCATGCATGACTAGTTAGTTATCTAACAAACCTATACAAGCATTAGTGTAGCATTTTCAGTTGAAGCGTCACTTCTGAGGAGAACTTTTCCAAAGCCACATGGCTAAGGGAATATCAGAAATAAAATTTGTGTGTAAGTGTAACTGATTTCAGAGCATTGACTTTGTTCTACTCATAAATCATTTTGAGTTAAACTAAAATAAGAAAAGCATTGCCTTAGCCATAGAACAAGTAGTATGAGCAGTAACATTAGTAGCGGAGAAGAGCATCAGTCATGGCAGAAGCTAGGAGTTTCATGCATATGAGAGGGAATACAATACAGAAGAGTATACTACAAAGAGATCCATCAAGAGGTATGTGTAACTTAAGAACAGCAGTATGAAAAAGAATGAGAAAATATCTTCACCTGGTGTACAAATAGACTTTGAGGGCCCATGCCACAATATTGGAGGCTCTCTCAGCCGGGACTCTTGGGGAGGGCCTAGGCTCTGCCCTGGATGAAATGACAGTTACTGGAGATCCACCATGGATGGCCTCACCCTCCTTGGTGAGTGGAGATTGGGTAGGGGGCTGGGGGACCTGGTGGGGAGGGCGGGAGAGGAGGGGAAGGAGATGGATCTGGGATTGACATGCAAAATAAGATTGTTTCTAACCTAAATTAAAAAAAAAAAAGACTACGGTAACATGGAAGCCCACAGAAGGCTATCAAAAAGTCATGAGAGGCAAATAATGTTACAGACCACAAAAGTTGGAAAACTATAGAGCAATTGGCTTCCAGCAACAAACTGTTAGCAGGTAGTAGCCTACCATCCACCCAGTTTCCTAATGTAGAAAGGTGGAAATTTTCCTTACTCAGTAATACATTCCATTAATCATTCTTGTTGATGGCATTCAAAATTGATGTCTCAAAACAAGGTGCCTTGACATTTGAGCAGCACTAAAAGAAGGTCACTCTGACCTTTGCTATTCTCCCTAGAGCAGGCAATGAAGGAATGCTTTGACCTTCCTCTAAAGTATGAGACTTCCATTGCAGATGTTCCCTCCCTATGCCTGGAGGAAGGGAACATCACATAGGAGTACAGGAAAGAACCCAAAACAGACAGTGTGCTGTTCTTTGTAGAACCTGTTTGTATGCTCACACTGCAAACCTCTGTATCTAAACCAATAGTATAAGATACCCAATAAATAAGTAAATCCTCTGAGTGCAGCATGAAATTATATGTTAAAGAGCACCATTTATAAAATAAAATTGTAATGATTTCTATAAACCCCATGGTCTTCTCTAGGTGAGAGCGTATATGAGAAGTTCATTTGCTTTGACTCCTCCCATCTTTGGTTTTAGAAAGAATAGCAGATAACTGAGAGTTATTTTAAAACAAAGCATCATGATTTAATAAGAAAATTTACAACTAATGCTAATACTATCTGTTAAGGGGATAAAAATTTAAACATGGAAATTATGAGCTCCTTACTTTAGTTCTGTAATTATTCATCTACAAGTAACATTATTGTGAATGTTCATATTATGTAGACATGCCCCCAAAACAAATTCATGCAAGTCATTCCCTTTTCATATGTTGGGAATTCACTTTTAAGATGCTGAGATTCCAAAGTATTTCTATATGCCATGAATGGCCAAAATAAATTACATCTGCTCCAACCGTTTTTTTTTTAAAAGACTTACTCTAATAATAATTGCATGACAAACCAATATTCTTCTCTGCTTAAAAGTTATCTAGAGGAGAGTATGATTTAGATATCTATGAAACATTAAACATGCTTTTATGCAAGAAAATTATGTTAATTACTTCTTAGTAAAAGCAATCAAACTACTTACAAAATAACAAATTATTTCATCACCAAGTAAAGTACAGACAAATAACAAGTGTGTTCATCTTACCCACTGGCCATGTGATCTATATAATTTCTGTGTTAACTCCCCAAATGATTAAATGTGAAGGAGAGAAATAGTGACATCACCTATTCAATGACTAATAAGAAAAACACTCATTATTCCCTGTATTAGCTATTCAAAAATGGAGAATTTGTATCCTCTTCCCTAGAGTAGAATGAAAGACATCAATAACTTCTCTTTCTTATCCTTGATAGACAGGGGCAATTTGTTTCTGGTTCAAATTGAACTTGTCAGTACATGCCAGTCAGGCTTTTCTTACAGGGCATGCTCACATCTGAACCATAGCAGGAGGGCAGTTGATTGTTGAATACTATGTGTGACATAATGCTCAGAGGGCATGTGTGAGTGTCCAGGAAATAAAAAAAAACATAAAGTCAGGTGACATGAAAAGCCATGCATGAAAAAAATTCTACATTCCAGAGGTAACATAGAATTGAAATACAAAAATGAGTTTCAGAGCAGCATAAGGTACTATGACCTATTAAGACTGGTTGTCTATGTTGAAGTGAAGGAAACTCATTGGGGCTTATGTTCATCACTTCAAACTTTATTTTACAAAAGTATCCTTTTAATTTTCTCAAGTCAATCAGGGTCTTTTCAAATCTGCTAGTTGCTCTAATGCCTACATATTCATGTTTAGGATGGGAAAGAAAGCTGGAAGCCTTTGGTTATGGGTTAAATAGTTCAATTTTACTGAGTAGGAAAATTTGGTCACCTAAGGTTTTTACTGAAGAATACTATCCATATAGTATTAAGGAAAATTAGAAAGGTTATATAACATGTTGGAGAAATTGGGAAGGTGAATATAGAAATCAAGAGGATATGAGAAAATCCCTTAAAGCGATGGAAGAAAAAACAAACCAAAAAATGCAAGAAATGGAGGAAAAGACAAAGCAAAAATTGCAAGAAACAATTCAAACAGTGCAAGGATTGATGGCTGAAATGGAGACAATAAAAAAAAAACACAGTCTGAAGGAATACTGGAAATAGAAAAGATGGAAAAGATGGGCAAAATGGTCAGGTACTACAAATGAAAGCATAACTAACAGAATAAAAGAGATAGAAGAGAGAATCTCAGGTGTTGAAGATACACTAAGGGAAATAGATTCATTAACACCTATCAAATGAACCCAAGAAACAAGTAGAGGAAGCAATCCTAATATATAAGAAATTAGACTTCAAACTAGAATCAGTCAAAAGAGATAAATTAGGTCATTTCACACTCATCACAGGAGAAGACTACCAAGATGAAGTCTCAATTCTGAACACCTATGCCCCAAATACAAAGTCATCCACATTCATAAAAGAAACATTACTAAAACTCAAATCACATATAAACTTCACACACTTATACAGACAATAAAAGGACTGGGAAAGAAATCAATGAAACATCGCCCTTTATAATTGCCACAAACAACATAAAATAACTTGGGGTAACACTAACCAAACAAGTGAAAGGCCTGTATTGCAAGAAATTTGAGTCTTTAAAGAAGACACCAGAAAATGGAAAGATCTCCTATGCTCTTGGATAAGTAGGATCAATGTACAGTAAAAATGGCAATCTTGTCAAAAACAGTCTACAGATTAAATGCAATCCCAATTAAAATCCCAGCACAATTCTTCACAGGCCTTGAAAGAACAATTCTCAACTTTATATGGAAAAACAAAAGACCCAGTATAGCCAAAACAACCCTGTTCAACAAAGCAACATCTGAAGGCATCACCATCCCTGATGTCAAGCTCTATTATAGAGCTATCATCTTGAAAACAGCTTGGTATTTGCACAAATATAGACAGGTAGACCGATGGAATTTAATTGAAAACCTTGATATTAACCCAAACACATACAAACACCTGACCTTTGACAAAGAAGCTAAAATTATACAATGGAAAAATAAGAAAGCATCTTCAACAAATGGTGCTGGCATAACCAGATGCTGGCATGTAGAAGATAGATCCATATCTATTGCCATGCACAGAACTTAAGTCCAGATGGTTCAAAGTCCTCAACATAAATCCAGCCACACTCAACCTCTTAGAAGAGAAAGTGTGTGGTACGTTGAACGAATTGTTACAGGAGACCACTTCCTGAACATAACACCAGGAGCATAGACACTTAAATGGACAATTAATAAATGGGACCTCCTGAAACTGAGAAGCTTCTGCAAGGCAAATGACACAGTCAACAAGACAAAAAGGCAGCACACAGAATGGGAATAGATATTCACTAACCCCACATCTGACAGAGGGCTGATCTCCAAAATTTACCAAGAACTCAAGAAACAAGTCTCCAAAACACCAAAGGATCCAATCAAAAAGTGGGGTACTGAACTAAATGGTGAATTCTCAGTAGAGGAGTCTAAAATGGCTGAGAGACACTTAAGAAAGTTCTCAACATTCTTAGCTATTAGGGAAATGCAAGTCAAAACAACTCTGAAATACGATCTTATTCCTGTCAGAATGGCTAAAATCAAATACACCAATGAAAGTTTATGCTGGAGATGATGTGGAGAAAGGGGAACACTCCTCCACTTCTGATGGGAGTGCCAACTAATACAGTAACTCTTAGGCATATACCCAAAAAATGCACATTCATACAACAAGGATGTCTATTCCACTATGTTCATAGCAGCATTATTTGTAATAGTCAGAATCTGGAAGCAACCTAGATCTAGTACATTTACACAATAGAGAACTACTCAGGAAAAAACAATGGAATCTTGAAATTGCAGGCAAATGGACTGCACTAGAAAAAACCATCCTGAGTGAGGTAACCTAGTCACAAAAAGACAAAACACTCATATATGGATTTTAGGCATGGATCAGGGGAATGCCAGTCTACAATCCCACTTCCAGAGAGTCTGGGAAACAAGAAGGACACTAAGAGAGATATGCATGGTACCCCAGAGAACGAGAATGAGGCAAGATCTCCTGAGAGGAGGGGAGAGAGAGCCAGGAAAAAGAGGGAAAGAAGAGGAGGGCATGGAGGAGCAGGAAGGTTGAGTCAGGGGAAGAATAGAGTAGAACAGGATGAGAGATACCATAATAGAGAGAGTCATTATAGGCTTGAGGAGAAATCTGGCGCTAGTGAGATCTCCAGAGATGTAAAAGGATGACACCATCTGGCAAACTAAGCAATAGTGGAGAGGCTACCTTAAATGCCCTTCCTTGATAATGAGTTTGATGACTACTTTATATGCCATCCTAGAACCTTCATTCAGTGACTGATGGAAACAGAGGCAGACACCCACAGCTAAACACTGAACTGAACTCCTGGAACCCAGTGACAGAGAGGGAGGAGTGATGAGGAAAGTAGTCGAGACTGGGCGGTGAAAGCCACAGAGACAGCTGACCTGAACAGAGGGGAGCTCTTGGACCCCAGACTGATGGTTGAGAGGCCAGCATGGGACTGATCCAGACCCCCTGAATGTGGGTGTCAGTGAGGAGGCCTAGACAATCTATGGGGTCTTGGGTAGTAGATCAGTATTTATCCCTGGCATACAAATGAACTTTGGGTGCCCATCCCACATTGATGGATGCTCTCTCAGCATGGACACGTGGGGGAGGGCCTAGGCCCTGCCCTGTATGAAAAGACAGACTCTGGAGATCCCCCATGGATGGCCTCACCCTCCCTGGGGAACAGAGTGAGTTTTGGGTGGGGGCCGGGGGGCTTTGGGGAGCGGGAGAGGAGGGGAGGGAGAAAGAGTTGAGATTGACATGTGACGCAAGCTTGTTTCTAATTTAAATAAAAAAAGATAAAAATAATATATGTATTCATAAAAAAAGAAAGATGGAAAAGAGCAACAAAATTTCAGCATTAAGCTAACCTAATGAGACAAATTGTTTGGTGGTTTCCTTACAATAATGCTGGCAGAATCTTATCAAGGAGAAAATAAGTAGAGTATATGATAATCCCAGTTTTAAGATACAGCCAGACCCAGAGGACGGGTGTTGCTTACTGTAAACAGTATGAACATGATTAACATGTCTTAGAAAAATAAATTGAAGGTGTACTTCATGAACAGTTCTCTGGCATATATACTTTTGGTTACTAAACTTGGGGAAACATAAGGAAAGTGACATTTTCTATACCATGCATATTTTTTTGCTTTTATATTCCAAGATTCTTGTGTTTTATAGAGTACCAATTCACTTAAGTAGATATCTCTGAAGAAGATGCTACCAGGTTACCAAGCATCTGACATTCGTGAGTCACTCACTTATGTTATATCATGAAGCTAATAGAGCTTAGGGAAACAACAGAAATACCTGAATTCAGTAAGAATGTTTATTGATTTGTCAGTCTTAGAGATCACTGGGGCTTTTATCCAAATTTCATAACTGGAAACCTATACTTCCATACTAGTAAATTAATAATAGAGGAGGAAAGTGGGTTCTAAATATTAATTGATATCACTATTTAATCCTTATTTTGTGGTACTGCAATATGAATTTCAAGAACTGAAGACACTGTCTTGTTTTTAACTTTTTCTTCTCTCAAGACTGCTCAATAAATATTTGTTGAGGAGATGATTGATAGGATGGGTAAATATTAATATTTTGTGTAAGCCAAGGATTGCAGGGCATACACAGATGTCATTGTATACCTCTTAAGAGCATATGTTGAATTAATATAGCAGTTTATGTTACTTTACTAACGGGAACCACTTCTATAGGGTGTAACAGCCACCCAGCCTTTAATACTTCTGCTATCCTTTGTATTACAAAACAAAAGAGAGTTTTCAATGAGGCATTTTCCAGTAGAGAAAAGCTAAGTATTGATCGTATATAATCTCCACATAGACTAACCAGTGAGTCATAAAGGTAAAATTAGAAGGTCCGTGGTGGGAAGTTGTTAGAAAATCAGTAGAACACCAAGTGCAGAGCAAATAAATGCCCTGAAATCCATATCTCATTGTTACTGCTGTGTGGTTTTTATTGCAGAAAAGATATTAATTTAATTTAGTTTAGTATGACAAAGCAGTCTTGTCCTATTATCTGGTCCCAGAGGGACCACCCCTTATAATTTGGCCTTGCAGAGTCTCTGCTTTATAACTGAGGCAAAAGTTTATCCATCTTTCCCTTTGGAGCCCTTATAGAAAACACTATCCCATTCTCCTTCCCACACTCTCCCTGCTGTTTGGCTTTACAGTGTGTCTTCTTTAGTGTTTTTATTGCTGTGAAGAGACACTATGAGCACAGCAACTCTTATGAAAGTAACATTTAATTGGGGCTGGCTTACAGTTTCAGAGGTTCTGTCCATCATCATCATGACAGGGACCATGGCAATATGCATTGCTGCAGTGGTAGCTTAGACCTACATCTTACAGGCAACAGGAATTCAATTGAGACACTGGGCGGTATCCTGATCATAAGAAACCTCAAAGGCCACCCCCACAGTGACATACTTCCTCCAACAAGGCCATACCCAACTCCAAGAAAGCCACACCTCCTAATAGTGCCACTCCTTATGAGATTATGGGGGCTAGTTACATTCAAACTACCACACAGTGCCATTCACATTACTTCTGACTCTCACTGTGAGAAGTAGAATGTTCATAGATCCACACTGAAGTCACACAGTCAGAATAGCAGCACAACTGCAAAAATTCTCAAATAAACTTGTAACCAGCAGGGAAAGCTGAAGACTTAGGAAGCAGCCACATCCTTGGCAGTAAGTAAAAGAATCTCTCCTCTGAGCTGAAAAGATTTGAACGTGTGGCACTTATGTGCATGAAAAGCTATTCCACTCTGAATCAGGAGCTGTGGAATTGTGATGGCAAAGCTTCAACAGAGAGTCTGGAAGATCATTATCAGTGACAGCCTGTGCAAGTGGCCTCGACATTGAAGCCCACTGTGTATCAGCAAAGGGTTTTCACTCTCATTATCATCACATAATGGCTTATAGTTCAAACAAATAATACAGAATAATACAGGGGGGTTTGTTTGTTTGTTATTCTGGAGGTTTTGTTTCTTTCGTTTTGGGTTAGTTGCTTGCTTTTATTTTAATTTCAGATTAATAACTTTGTAAACTGAACCTTATTAAGACTTAAGAACTTTTTAAAGACTTTCTACAGCTTTGGAAGTTCGCTGGTTTTTAGTACCCTACAATATTCCTTAAAATAACATCCTCTAGCATGTATGCGATTTCTTTTTGTTTATAGGCCTCAGAAAAATATTAATTTCTTTGTTTGATAAATTCTCTAATAACAACATCTTTGCCCCTTCCAAGTCAAAGAGCAGGAGGCATATGGTTAGGCCTTGTCTATTCTCAGCTGCCTTTGAATCTAAAGCAAGCATCAGTGCTAAAATTTATCATATATTTAAGTTTAATTCATTGTAAATAAAAGTTCTGGTTCCCTCTAACTTTTTAAACACGGTTTGAAATTATTACAATGTTTTTTGGAAACAATGACCTCTTTAAACACATGTCTTAAGCAAAGGTAATATTCTATAGCCTACAATATATTTTAGAATCAGTATCCTGTATTCATTTTCAGGAGAGGCTAGCCTGCTAAATGAGTATTTTGAGGATATCATATTAATTTTTATTTTTCTTCATCTTTCCTGATTCTCAGCTTTCTACGAAGTATGGTGTCCACGTATGTGGGGAAGGTGGCGAGTATGAAACCTTTACTTTGGATTGCCCTCTATTTAAGAAGAAAATCATTGTGTAAGATACCATTTCAGCATCTTCCTTTTTCTTAAATTTAAGTGATAGAAGCAACTCAGCATTTAGCTTGAGGCAGCTTTGGTTGCAAGAAATAAAACATTTCCCTTAAGTTCACAAACACTCAATTTGTTTAATCCCAAGGAAGTTTTGTGAATACTTAAATCAATACCTGACAAGACGAGGCCTTCATAGAGGGCTGTAAACTTTTTAGACATTGCACTTTCGTTTACTTGCTGATTACGGCCTGCAGTAAAACTGGTGCCTACACACTGACACTTTTATCCTTTCCTGAAGTGTGAATTGCCTGTATTATTTATCTTTCATTACTGCTACATTTGATAAACTGCCACATCAGTAGCCTGTGGGTTCCATTAACTTCAGCCTCGTTTTCCTCTTTCTTGGCTTTAACAAGTTAGAATGATGAGACTAGACATTTCTCTTCAGTTATTTGTGGGGAGGGGTTATATTTTTACATATAAACTTTGTTTTGAAGCAGATTCAGTTCATGGTAAGTAGTGTGGTACCTCTGCTATAAATCGTAAAAATTAGTATAATGAAAAAATGGGAACTTAGTCTAGTTCATCACTTTATTAGTTGTGTTCTACATTGTGCCACACTTTGTATGTGTTGGGGGAGCATTTCCTCTGTTTTTGTTTTGTTTTGTTTCCAAGTTCATGCCTCTGTTGAGTTCCAGACCAGTCTGGTCTACAGAGTGAGTCCCAGGACTCCCAAGGCTACACAGAGAAACCTTCTCTCTGTAAAATAAAAAAAAAAGATTTGAATTATTAGAACAATTAATAATAGTCAAGGGAATATTCCGGGACACTAAGACTAAAACTTTTGGCCAGGTGGTGGTAGTACATGCGTTTAATCCCAGCATTTGTGAGGCAGAAACAGACAGATGTCTGTGAGTTCTGAAGCTAACCTGATCTACAAATCAAATTCCAGAACAGCCAGAGCCATTACACAGAGAAACCCTGTGTGGAAGAAGAAAAAAAGACTAAAACTGTTTCATCTCCAAATCCAGTATTCGTGACTCTTGCTTTCATGGTCTCCCAACTTCTTTTGCATTGATAATTAACATATCACTAATTTATTTTGCATTTTTGTCAGATGCCTGTTGTTTCTAATTTATTTTGCATGTTTTATCAAGTGTCTGTTGTTTCCATTGAATTCTGCTGATCACTATTGATGCCAATTGTTTTTCCCTTTATAAATTTGAAGTGAAAACATATTTCTGTATTAACTGTGACAGAAGGTAGCAAAGTTACTATCTGGAAGTTTGTGAACTGTGGGTCCCTTTAAATAGCAAAAGTGTCAGTGTTTCCTAGTATGGGAGGATTTCAGGCCTCTCCTCCGGGCAGCAGGAGTGATTAGGCACAAGGTATGGATCTGGTAAGCACACCAAATTATCTGTGTTGTAGGGACTGCTCAGAAGTAGTCATACACTCTGCTGATGCGTTTGCACCTGTGGCTTATCTTCGACTTTCAGAGTTGCACCTGGAAGCAAAGGTAAGTAACTGTCAGACTGCTGTGATTTCAGACAAGTGAGAGGCATGCATTCATTCTCTTGTGTGATCCTGCAACAGGAGGCAGTGGAGCAGAGAAATCGATTTATTCAGCCAACAACTTATAGTTTCGAGGATGTTGTATAACACAAAGGACCTACATTCTAAAGAATTTGACGGTTAATTAAAAAAGAATGATAAATACTAAAAAGACAAGAACAGTATAAAACCAGTAAGTCATCAAACTTGATAATTGGATTGTAGCGAATAAGCATTTGTGGTAAGATTTGAGAGATTTTCATTATACAAGGCTTTCAAGGAGGAAAAGAAAAAGGAGAGAAAAGCTACAAATGCTATAAATGAGAGAATTGACAAAAAGACGGAAAAATGATACAAAATGCAGTAAAATAAAACATGAGTTTTCTTTTAAATACATTGGTGATCAGTATGAAGCAGATCCCTGTTCAGTCTGTCTTTGGGGATAGGATAAGATCTGTGTTATATTTTTGAATGAAAGGCATAGAGAGGTTACATCCTGGTCTCCCTTATGTAAGGAGAAAGAGTCATGATAGAAAACACAAATAATAGGAAAAGGTCTTGTGTCCTGTTTTCTTGCCTACTTCCTGAGGCACACTCATAGCTGTCTATGTGTGACCAGGAATGTTTTCACAATGATGTTTTCAGGTTTGGCAGCTTCTCTAAAAGTAGAATGGCAACAGTGGTCCCCAAATCTCAGAAGAGCACTTACTAGCACCAGCAAGATGACTCAGCTATTAAAAGTGAAAGTATTTACCATGAAAGCCTCATTATCACACACACACACACACACACACTCACACACACTCACTCACTCACTCACTCACTCACAAATTGTGCATGTCAGTCTCCCAGAAAAACTAATGATGAGCAAGGTTGGATACCTATAGATTATTGGAATAGGCTAAAAGTAAACATTGGTAACCTTTTATCAAAAATTGGTGACATCGAAGGGTGACATTATTCCATCCAAACACCTTCCAAATTCAATAAAAGGACTCCTTACTTTTTTAGCCCTCTTCTGCTTATGCTGCCTTGAGCATGGCTGGGAATCTAAAACACTACAATCTTCCTTAAGCATTTCTCCCTTCTAAGCTTAGCTTCACCATGTAGCTCACTAGGGTTCTCCTGGTATTTCATAATCTTCATAGGCCAGTAGCCCACTGCATATAACTATTGTTTCTTTGATACTGTTGTTTCTATGACTACAGACATTAATAAATATGTCACATTTTCCTTCTGTTTCCTTGTAGGTGTCTTCAGTACCTGGGAATGATGAAACAACTAGCTATATACACAATTCTTGAAATTTATGCTGCATTTTAAAAATTATTATGGCCAACTTCTCTCATTACATTTTTATACGTCTTCAAAAAATATAATGGGATCATTGATTAACTGGAAGGACTTCAGTGAATCCTTCTCTAATATTGCCAGTTTCCTTAACCTTCTTTCCAAACGCTATGATATACATCTTGTTGCTCACTTTCAAATTTATGGCCTTTTTTTCATTACCATTTTTATATTCCTTGACATCTCTCTCTCTCTCTCTCTCTCTCTCTCCCTCTCCCTCTCCCTTTCACTCTCTTATCCTAGAACTCACTCTGTAGACCAGGGCTGATATCGAACTCATAGAGATCCATCTTTCTCTGCTTCCCAGGTGATGTAATTAAAGGTGTGTGGCACCACTGCCCAGCAATATTTCTTTTTCATTTGTGTCCTCCCTTTCATTATACCACATGTCATGGAGAAGAGGCATCAGTAAGTGAAGAAGACCCTACCCTGACAATCAAGCTCACTGTAATTAAGTGTCACCAATGGAATTTATATTTTTTGTTGTTTTTAATGTAATCATTATTCATACTTTCCACATCAGTGGATAAAGAGAAGGAATATTATCTTAAATGGCTGGTTTTTTATGATTGATTTTTTTTGTATAATGCTGTGTATGATTTGATGAATTGTGGGTGCCTGGATCAAGACGTTTCAGAGGATAATATTAATATGTGGCCTACCAATCACTCTTGTGGTATTTTGCTGAAGAACCTGGCTGCCTTTTACCCTTGTCCAAAAAGCTTGCCCAAGGTTAAAGTGAAGAGTTTTGGGTTAATTCCCTTGGCAAAGGAAATCTCAAAACACTCTGTTGTGTGGTTACTAGTGTTAACATTGATGAAGATTTATAATGAAAAAGAGCAAGCTGAGCAAGAAAAATATTTGGGGAAAAACTGAGCACCAGCTAAGTCCTGTGTTCAAGGAGATGAACAGATTAAGAAATGAAATAAACCATGTAGTGGCCTCAGGGTAAGATGCCACTCAACTTGTGAAAAGGAATTAAAGAAAAGCTTAGATCTGGGTGGTGGTGATGGTGCACTTCTTTAATCCCAGCATCAGGAGGCAGAGGCTAGTGGATCTCTGAGTCTGAGGCCAGCCTGGTGTACCAAGAAAGTTATGGTTGATTTTTTAAAGAAAATTTTAAATATAACTTTTGTATACCTCATACAATTTTTAAAGGCAGACTATTTTGTAGAATAATTTTATGTTCTCTGCAAAGATGAATGGAAAAGCACAGAGGGCCTGTGTATATTTTCTATCTCATTGGAACACAGTCTGCCTCATGTCAACATCCTATGCTACAGAGATGTTTCTGTTGTAACTGATAAACCTACTTTGGTAGGTCCTTATCACCAAAGGCCCATGGTTATCCAGGAGAGTTGGCTCGCTCCTATAATTCCAGAAGTTGAGAGGTTGAGGCAGGAAGAATGTCGTGAGTTTGAGACCTGGGTTACCTTGTCTCAAAAACAAATAAAAAGATCATAGTTGATATCAAGGCTCATAATTGTGGTTTTTATACTCCATGGGATTTAACAAATTTTAAGGGACATATATCCATTATTATGGTCCTATAACAATAGTTTTCCTGTCCTAAGAATCCTCTGTGCTCCACCTCTTCATCCTTCACCTTATGTACTCCTTATAACTACTGATGTTTATGCTCTCTAGTTACACATTTTCCAGAATATCATTGACTTACTAATATGCATTTGGATTCTCTCATGTCTTGCTATAGCTGTTTCTCCTTTTTTGGTGACCATGACTAAGGCTGCTATCAGAATTCATGGACAAGTTATGTAAATCCAAGTATTCAGTTCATTTGTTTTTTTTAATTTTTTTTATTTTTAAATTTAAATTGGAAACAAGGTTGCTTCACATGTCAATTCCACATCCCTCTCCCTTTCCCTCCCCTTCTCCCATGCCCTCCCACCAATGCCTCCAATATCCCCTCATTTCCCCAGGGAGGGTGAGGCCTTCCATGGGGGTGTCCATAGTCTGTCATTTCATCCAGGGCAGGGCCTAGACCCTCCCCCGAGAGTTCAGGGTGAGAGTGCATCTCTCAATGCTGGATGGGCACCCAAAGTCCATTTGTATACCCAGGATAAATACTGATCTACTACCCAAGGCCCAGTAGATTACCTAGGCCTCCTCACCGACACCCACATTCAGGGGGTCTTAATCAGTCCCATGCTGGATTCCCAGCCATCAGCCTGGGATTCAAGAGCTAACTCTTATCAGGTCAGCTGTTTCTGGGGGTTAAACCAGCCCAGTCTTAACCCCTTAACTCATCAGTCCTCCCTCTCTGTCACTGAATTACTTAAGTTCAGCTCAGTGTTTAGCTGTGGGAGTCTGCCTCTGCTTCCGTCAGCCATTGAATGAAGGTTCTGTTTCCCACACTCTCTGGCCATGGGATTGTAGGCTGGCACTCCCCAGATCTATGTCTAAAATCTATATATGAGAGAGTACATGCCATGTTTCTCTTTTTGTGACTGGGTTACCTCACTCAGGATGGTTTCTTCTAGTGTCATCCATTTGCCTGCAAATTTCAGGAGTCCATTGTTTTTTTCTGCTGAATAGTATCATGAAGGGGTGTTGGATTTTGTCAAAGGCTTTTTCTGCATCTAGTGAGATGATCATGTGATTTTTGTTTTTCATCTTGTTTATATGGTGGATTACATTGATGTATTTTCATATGTTGAAACATCCCTGCATCCCTGGGAATAAACCTACTTGATCGTGGTAAATGATTGTTTTGATGTGTTCATGATCCGATTTGCCAGTATTTTATTGAGTATTTTTGCATCAATGTTCATGAAGGATATTGGTCTGAAGTTCTCTTTCTTAGTTGTGTCTTTGTGTGGCTTGGGGGTCAAGGTTATTGAAGCCTCGTAGAAAGAGTTTGGCAAAGACCCTTCTGCTTCTAATGCATGGAATATGTTGAGAAGAATTGGTATAAGCTGCTCTCTGAATTTCTGGTAGAATTCTGCACTGAGGCCATCTGGACCTAGGTTTTTTTTGTTTGTTTGTTTGGGAGAGTTTTGATGACTGCTTCTATTTCCATAGGGGTTATAGGTCTATTTAAATTCTTATCTGCTCTTGATTTAATTATGACAAGTGATAGCTATCCAGGAAGTCATCCATTTCCTTTAAATTTTCTAATTTTGTGGAGTACAGGTTTTCAAAGTATGACCTGATGATTCTCTGAATTTCCTCGGAGTCCATTGTTATGTCCTCGTTTTCATTTCTGACTGCTAATTTGCATGTTCACATTCTGCTGTTTGGTAAGTTTGGACAAAGGTTTGTCTCTCTTGTTGATTTTCTCAAAGAACCAACTCTTTGTTGCATTGATTCTTTGTATTGTTTTCCTAGTTTCTACTTTATTGATTTGAGCCCTCAGTTTGATTATTTCCTGGGGTGTACTCCTCCTGGGGAAATTTGCTGTTTTGTGTTCTCGAGCTTTCAGCTGTGCTGTTAATTTTCTAGTATAACTATTCTCCAGTTTCTTCATGTGGGCACTTAGTGCTATGAACTTCCCCCATAGCACTGCTTTCAAAGTGTCCCATAAGTTTGGGTACGTTGTGTCTTCATACTCATTGAATTCTAGGAAGTCTTTAATTCCTTTTTTTGTTTCTTCTTTGACCCAGGGATGGTGCTATTGTGCATTATTCAATTTCCATGAGTTTGTAGGGTTTCTGCAATTTGTGTTGTTGAATTATAATTTTAATGCATGGTGGTCTGATAAGCTGCGTGGAGTTATTCCAATTCTTTTGTACCTGTTGATGTTTGCTATATTGTCAAGTATATGGTTGAATTTTGAGAAGGTTCCATGTGGTGGTGAGAAGGAGGTATATTCTTTTTATGTGGATGGAATGTTCTATAGATGTCTGTTAATCCCAACTGGGTCATAACTTCTATTAGACCCTTTGCTTCTTTGTTAAGTTTCTGTTTGATATTCCTGTCTAGTGATGAGAGTGGGGTGTTGAAGTCTTGTGGGGCTTTATATGTGATTTGAGTTTTAGTAATGTTTCTTTTACAAATGTGGATGCCTTTGTATTTGGGGCATAGATGTTCAGAATTGAAATTTCATCTTGGTGGATTTCTCATGTGATGAGTATGTAATGACCTCCTTCATCTCTTTTGATTGATTTTATTTTAAAGTCTAATTTGTTAGATATTTGGATTGCTACCCCCTGTTGTTTCTTGGGTCCATTTGATTGGAAATCTTTTCCCAACCTTTAACTCTGATGTAATGTCTGTTGTTGAGGGTGAGGTGTGTTTCTTGTATGCAGCAGAAGGATAGGTTCTGTCTTCAAATCCATTCTGTTAGCCTGTGTCTTTTTATGGGTGAGTTAAGGCCATTAATATTGAGGGATATTAATGACCATTGATTCCCCATTCTTCTTTGATTTGGAATGATTGTTGTTGATAGAATTATGTGTGGAATTTCACCCCTTTTTTCTTTTGGCTGTTGGTAAAGTGGGATTATCTAATGCCTATATTTTTCTGATTGTAGTTAACTTCCTTGGGTTGGAGATTTCCTTCCAGAACTTTCTGTAGGGCTGGGTTAGTGAATATGTATTGCTTGAATCTAGTTTTGTCATGGAGTATCTTGTTTTCTCCATCTATAGTGATTGGAAGCTTTGCTGGGTATAGTAGTCTGGGCTGGCATCCATGGTCTCTTAGTGTTGGTAGAATATCTATCCAGGACCTTCTGGCTTTCAGAGGTTCCATGGAGAAATCAGGTGTAATTCGGATAGGTTTGCCTTTATATGTTACTTGGCCTTTTTCCTTAGCTGCTCTTAATACTCTTTCTTTATTCTGTATATTTGGTGTCTTGATTATTGTGTGGTAAGGTGACTTTTTTTGTGGTCTACTCTATTTGGTGTTCTGTAAGCTTCTTGTACCTTCATTGGCATGTCTTTTTATGATTTTCTTGAATATGTTTTCTGCTCCTTTGAGGTGGTTTTCTTCACCTTCTATACCTATTATTCTTAGGTTTGGTCTTTTCACAGTGTCCCATATTTCCTGGATGTTTTTGTTAGGGATTTATTGGACTTAAGATTTTCTTTGGTTGATGAACCAATTTCTCCTAGTGTACCTTCAACACCTGAGATTCTCTCTTCCATCTCATGTTTTCTGTTGGTTATGCTTGTATCTGTAGTACCTGATCGTTTGCCCAGCTTTTCTATTTCCAGCCTTCCTTCAGATTGTGTGTGGTTTTTTTTTTTTTGTCTCTATTTCAGTTTTCAACCCTTGCACTGTTTGAATTGTTTCTTGCAATTTTTGCTTTGTCTTTTCGTCCATTTGTTGCATTTCTTGCACTTTTTGGTTTGTTTTTTCTTACATTTCTTGCATTTTTGGGTTTGTTTTTCTTCTGTTTCTTTGAGGGATTTTCCTATTTCCTCCTTTAGGGCCTCTATCATTTTCATGAGGCTGTTTTTTTTTTTTAATTTATTTTTCAGTTTAAATTTAGATAAGAAACAAGGTTGCTTCACAAGTCAGTTCCAGGTCCCTCTCCCTTTCCCTCCCCTCCTCCCGTGCCCTCCCCCCAATCTCCCCCATTATCCCCTCATTTCCCCAGGGAGGGTGAGGCCCTCCATGGGGGTGTCCATAGTCTGTCATTTCATATAGGGCAGGGCCTAGACCCTTTCCCAAGAGTTCAGGGTGAGAGTGCACCTCACATTGTTGGATGGGTGTCCAAAATCCATGTGTATACTCGGGATGGGTACTGATCTGCTGCCCAAGGCTCAATAGATTACCTAGGCCTCCTCACTGACACTCACATTCAGGGGGTCTTGATCAGTCCCATGCTGGATTCCCATGCTAATGCCTGGGATTCAAGAGTTAACCTTTGTCAGGTCAGCTGTTTCTGGGGGTTAGACCAGCCCAGTCTTAATCCCTCATGAGGTTGTTTTTAAGGTCATTCTCTTCTGCTTCATTTGCATTGGAATGTTGGAGTCTTGCTGGTGTGGAGTCTCTAGAATCTGGAGGTGTCATATTTGTTTTTCTGTTGCTGACTGTTTTTGTATTGTCTCTTTCCCATCTCTTCTTCTAGTGGGTACAGAAAGAGCCCCTTACTGGTCTGGTGGTTAGGGGACCAGAGTTCCCTTTCAATGGGTGCAAGCAAGTCCAATACTCTGGCAGTTCTCCTCTTCCTAGTTCTAGTCCTGGTCCTGTGGATGGAGAAGAATCCTAGGAATCTGGGGTGCATAGTCTCCCACCTGGTTCCCTGGTCCCGTTGGTGGAAGAGAAGAACTGGGATCTGGGGTGCGGGCTCCCACTGGGGTGGGAAGCTCTGTGGCAGTCCCCAGGCACTGGAAGGCAGGCCTGGATGCAGGGCCTGGTTTACCTGGTCACTGGTCCCTCTGGTCCCCTGGTCCTGTTCCAGAGCAATTCTTTCTATTTTTACTGTGAACACATCTCTGAATCACTCTCCAGTCTGGACCAGTGGGTGGGGCAGGAGACTATGGAGCTTTGGCTCCTACCGCT